ACTGGTACTCCTGGATTCATTCAATTATGTAAATAAAGTCAAAACCTCGGTAACTGGAAAAGGAAAAGAAGATCTAGCGAGATGGAAGAAGAGCTCAAGATCTTCATCAAGGTTTGGGTTTCTGCAATAATCTCCATATCTTATTGTTACTACTTATCAGCCAGAATCAAACCTGGCGTTTTTCGATTACTTTCTCTTCTTCCTGTTTGTGCTCTGTTTCTTGTTCTTCCTCTGTTTTTCTCCTCTGTTCACTTCACTGGCTCCACTGCGTTTTCCCTCACATGGCTCGCCAATTTCAAACTCATACTCTTCTCCTTCGATAAAGGCCCTCTATTCCCAGTTCCTCCTAATCTCTCTCAGTTCATCTGCTTCACTTGCTTCCCCATCAAGCGTCAACAAAACCCTAAATCTCATAATCATTTGCCCAAATGGGTTTTCGCCGTAAAAGTTGCCATCTTTGGTGTTTTGTTACGTATGTATGATTACAAACAACATATGTCTCCTACTCTGCTATTAGTTCTCTATTCTATGCATATATACTTGGAGTTTGAGATTCTCTTAGCTCCCCTGAAACTTGTGCTCAGTATCATTCTTGGGTGCGACCTCGAGCCGCAGTTCAACGAACCATACTTAGCCACATCTCTTCAAGACTTTTGGGGTCGCCGGTGGAACCTCATGGTCTCTGCGATCCTCCGACCGACCGTCTACATTCCGGTGCGACGAATCACCGAACGGAAAATGAACTCCGATCAGGCACGGTTCTTGGGAGTCTTTGCATCGTTCCTCGTCTCCGGTGCAGTTCACGAGCTGATCTTCTTCTATTTTACACGTGAATCACCTACCCGGGAAGTCACTTTGTTCTTTGTGTTACATGGCGTTTGCACGGCCGCGGAAGTAGCTGCGAAGAGGACGAGTTTTGTGAGGCACTGGAGGATTCATCCGATGGTTTCACGGCTGCTCACGGTGGGGTTTGTGGTTGTGACCGGTGGTTGGTTGTTTTTCCCTCAGCTTACAAGGAGTGGCATGATCGAGAGACTCTCTAACGAAGCCTTTTTGTCCATTGATTTCGTAAAGCGCGAGTTTTATTTAACTTTTGGTTGGGTAATAAGTCGCTAAAATCATGGATTTATGTTTTCGGTACGTAGCTAAATTATCAAACATTGCTTTTGCTGAATTTCGGAAGAAAACTAAAGGAAAATTTACGTGATTCACGTGTTCACGTGTTTGGTATATGTCAAATCGTGGTATGATCCCACTTGGTTATCGTATGATTAATGATAGATTACTTGCAAATTAATTATAGTACTTTACGATTGATTTTTTATTTAACACTTTATTTTAGTGAAACGGATTCAAAACAAATAATATCAATGAAAAAATTCAACAAATGCGGTACAAAGAGAAACTAATGGTCCTATCCACACAAAATTTAAATGAAAACAATAATCGTTGATGACACATTAGCGATACCAAGATGATTTTTTCTCGAATCGAAGGTAGACGATAAGGTATTCCCGAATCTATAATAGCAGCCGTACTTTCAATATCTAATACGATAGCATATAATAATTCTCTTAATTTAGATAAATCTCCTTCCTTGATTGACTTTGTCAATTTTGTTCCGAGTTAGCTCCAGTGAAGCCGCCGTTGAACAATTTTGAACTGCAAAACTTAAATCAAATAGATAGCTAGAATTAACAAGAAACTAAAGCAAACCATAGATCTTCTACGAGTAAAAAAATCTCAATTAAAAATTTCACCCAGAAAAATTAAACCCAATCAAGAGTCACAAACTAAACCCAATAAAAGAAATCACAATAACTCATAAAAACCAGACGGGGAATAACATCACATCGTCTTCTGACCAAAAACTCCTAGACACCTCTTACATTTTATATCAAGCGTAGAAACTCTATCAGTTTACAACGTTCGCCCTCTCACGATTCCCGCAAAAACACCGGACATCGGAGAGGGAGAAAACTCAAATCACCTTTTTCTCTCTCTTTTTTTCTCGAATGCCTAGGGTTTTCCCAGATAATTTACCATTAATTTATAAAACAAACTTCATTTTCTAAATTTTAATTGGTTTTGATGAT